TTTTTTTTTACAGCGACAGGTGATGCTGTATAAGTGAACCTGCTTCTGAATTTTATTTTTTAATTTCTCGTAACTAGCTATGAAGGTTATTTACTAGTTCTGTGGGTTCAACTTCTTTAGTGATGCTTTTCAATCGACCGGGTAAAAAGGGGCGTCTTTTCTTTCAAACTCCGTTTTCTAAATCAAAAATGCTTTTATAGCGATGTGACGTCACTTATGAATAGAACCGAGGAATTAACGAAGGTTTGATGGAGTGATATCCAGTGTGGTTGATGTATTCGATCTTTTTTGTTGTCTATGACTTATATGAGTTGCACTCTGGCTCTTATATTGAAAGAGGTCTCATTTACTATTCAGAAACCACTTAATCTACTAGATATTTGAAGCTCCCGGCTTTAATCTAGTAGTTTGGATTGAACCAAGGTTCTGAAAGTCTGGGGATAAAGTTTTTTGCGATGTTTCATTCCGTTTCGAGATGCGCCCCGCATTGGATTATGCAGTTAGGAACGTGTTGCCCGACCCTTAAAACAAAGTTGTAGTAAATGGGCTGCAGAAGTACCACGAAGTCTACCTATAGCCACCTCGGAGTGACTTAACATTAGGAAAGAACACGTTACTGCTTATTCGTACGTCTGGCTCTGATCGCAGCTGATATTTTAGCAAGCATCCTTCATATTTTGACGAATACGAACCGTTCCGCCATAACAATTCTAGCACAACAAATTAGCTCTGTGGAGGTAATGGAGTGAACAAAGCTTGCTCTGCTTTCCACGAGAGGAAAAGCTGGGATTTCATTATTGCCGTCGCTAATGCATAAGATTTGCTTCTACCTCGAGAACAGGCTTTTTTGGGAAGGGGCATACTCAAGCTACTGACAATCCCTACTTCAGCGCAGCTCACCTTACTTTTTATGATTCCTTGATTCAGGGCATTAATGTCGCCCAGGCTAGGCTGAAAGGTTTCTGGACTCTTTTTATTTATCTGCAACCTTTCTACTTTCTGACTTATTCAACCATGTGTTCCCGAATTCTGCAGACGAAACCGTTTTGCTCCTCACGCGAATTAGGTGTGTAAGATCGACTTGGAACTTGAAATCTTCCGAGACAGGCCAGGAACAGGCCGAGACTCTGTTCAACTTTGGAAAGTCGATAGGTAGGTACCTTATCGGAATATGTGATCGTAAACCACTAACCTAAAGGCTCAGTCCAACAGGAGCATGTTCTCTGAGATTTAGTACACGAACCAGTCCCTGGCCTACAGGAATCGCGTTTGGGCCCCCGTCAATCTTAAGAGCGACCTATTTAGGGCGCAACAAGGGCTCAAAAATTGTCTCCGTTGTATAAGGGGCCCGGCTGTGTTTTATAGCCTTATAAAGGCTGCCACCAATCCCATTGGAGCACATAGTCTGCGAATTGAGGTGGATGATCCTCGTTGGCTGTTGAAGATAACTTTCCACTATTACCATAACCCAGAACCTGTGCCGGGCCTTGAACTGTGGTGTCAGAGAAGAGTGACCTTTGACATTTTTCGCGTTCTTTAGCACGCTCTTTATGTGATTGACAAAATCTCGTCCAAATAACCCTCTAATACTACTTTCACCGTCGTCATCATGCTATTAATTTAGCTAGTATGAAGAGCCCTTATATTTCCCAAGTTCCTCGGAGATTATAAATGAAATCGAGCTGATGTTGAGCAAGGGCTGCAGAGTATCCACTCTCCGTCTGCTGTTTTTGATCCGAAAGTTTTTCCATCACGATGTCGCTCTTCGTGGAACATAATCTGCCTTTCCTTCCTTGATAGGATTTACTGGCATTCCATCTGACGCCTATCTCTACTACATGACGTATCATCACCGCTACAGATTGTCTTACTCGCTCAGGCGTTTCAAGCAAACCGCTATGCGATAAATAAAGATACTAAGTAATTATTCATCATAAATCTAAACGGGATGGTTGAGGAGCCGAAGGTATTGTCCCGAGGCTGGGTCTATCCTTCATATTCTGAGAGTTGAAGTCGCCAAACATTAAGAAGTAGTCATAAGTATGGTTAGTTACAGGCCGTGCGCTTGACCTCGGGTTGAACTCGATCCCATGCTCGTTTTAGCCTTGTCTGGGCGGGACTGCAACACCCTGGCCAGCCTCGCCATTGTTTTCTACCACCGTTGCTTAACTGGTGTCGTACAAAAAACAGTGAAACCAGTTGGCCAGATAGTATCGGTCAGAGTGACTGCTTAGAACGAACTCCGCCATTGATGAAAGGGAATCCTGTCGGGACTGAGTATATACTAGTTTTTGTAGGAGGTCTTGTGGAATACCTCCTTTCATGCCATTTTTCATATCAGTATCTTACGTCAACGTGTTTTTCTTAGGGATTTCTAGGTTATGAAGGGTTCAACTGGCTGGGGGTTCATTTTTTCGGCGTTCAGTCCCTGAATTAGTAGGTTTTTACTATTCTCAATACTCTTATGGGTTAAGTTAATTATGATTTCCGATTGCAATGATTACGCATGCAGACAGGTTTCATATTCGCCGCTGTAACGAGCTCATTAGTTTGGTTTGAAGTGTTCCTTTCAAAGTTCTCTGCAATCGTTTCGAACGTAGTAACCGGCTCAGCCCTGTTTCCAAACTTCGAATCTTTCAAAGCTGTCATTTTAATTTCAGGATGGTTTCCCAGAAAGGGGCAACCGAATCGAAATCATCTCGGGTAATTATAAATTTGACGCCTGGCTCATCAACGTTGGTCATACTATTCGGGTGGGCTGGATGCCATGACCGGTATCTCAAGAAGTACTCGGACTACTACGAAAAGGCAGGGTAAGTTGTATTCAAATTATTCTATTCTTCATCCTTTTTTTCGAGGAAATCAGACGATTTTTTTACCCTATACCAGCTATTTTCCGAGCGCTTGCGAATTATTGATTACAAGCGCGCAAAATCAATATCCATTCTGGACCATTGTTGAGCATGCACTATATACTCTTCGGTTCGTTTCAGAATCTCAACTATTCGCTACACAACGCCGATTCGCAGAATCCGAAGATATCAGTCCTATCATCATTTCGCTAAAAAATTCTTTCGTGAAGTGATCGAGAAAAACGAACATGCCTCACATCCAAATATCTACTTTCATTGCTTTTCAATGAATGGCTGTTCGACTTTCACCGCACTATGGGATCTACTGGATAAGAAACCGGACGGAAACGCCTTTAAACAACGGGTTCAAGGCATTTTGTTCGATAGGTATGTCTTTGATGAATTGTAGACTTCATCTATAGCCCTCTAAACGACTCGATAGGCACGAACATGCCATAATTAGTTGTGATTGAGTACGACATCGGATAAACAGCGTATTCAGGAGCTAATGAGCATTAAGTGACCTCCCACACTAGCATTCAAGCAAACTTGAAATTGACGTGGAGGAAATAACTTGTACTCGGATTACTACGTACATACTTGATAATACTATCAGGTTGTTCGGAATGTGTTTGCCACAAATTTCCCAAAGAGTTTTTCGGAATGTTCTGAGGTTTCAGTAAAAATTTTATCTAGTCACGAACGACCCGTGTGTGAATGACATATCTGGTGATTCAATTATATCAGAGTGGCTTGATCCAATCGAGGCTCATCTTCTGCCCTTATATTAAAGGCTCTGAAGCACTCTGATGAAGGGCGCACAGAATTGCATACAACGGGCTCCAGCTCCAGGGTCAAGTAAATGACACGGTTTTCGAAGAGCTTCAGCANCATTCGGCCACTATAGTGCTGAATAAGAAAGAAGAGGAAACCGGGCGTTTCACGAGAGTATTCCATACGAAATCTGGACTGCTCTAAAATTTTCGCCGTATACTTCCCGAATGAAATACCGGTAATGTTTGCTGTCGAGGGGGTTAAACTTGAGCCTCCCGTTGAGCAGAATGTGTTAACCCTCAACAGATTGTTAACTCTCATCCCCTTCATATTGGATACCGAATATCTGAGAGCACATAGTATCTCTCACATACACATAGTACCAACCCATAGTACCAATCAACTTCGGCACAGCCAGGGGTTTTAGTACTTCTCATTACCAGTAGTCTTCAATTTATTTGTTACTAATCACCTCTTACCGTTACATCTCATTTCTTGCCAATCGTCCGTGGCTATGAAACTGGTTCCGTTAGAATGACTTCCATTTTAAATGGCCCTCAACTATCGAAACACAATGAATCCAGTTTTTGTGGTGAAGCTGCTCTTGCGACACATCAGGTTTCCCTTTCAGTCCAGTATCCAACCTCCACAACTGTAGAGAAACGAAATCGGTCTTAGATTTGAGGAATGGGGGAAAGAGGCGTTACGGACCTGGATGACTGGGAGAGTAACGTCTCCTTCTCCCAAACCCAGATCCTAGACTACCTACTCGAAATGTATACAGCCCTGAGGGATTCAGTTTCGTACAGTCAGCAGAGTCCGTCTGCAATTTTGTTTTTCGTCCTGCTGAATAGCTTCACAAGGGTTGTACCGTAACTTCAGCTTTATCTACGTTCTAGAACTATTTGCAGTACTTGCGTGGAAACGAAAGATCGCGTACCCTCCCTAAGGACACACGAAAAGTCGGGAGTATTTTTTCCTCCCCTGCTAGGCGAAAAGCAAAATCAATTACTTCAAATAGGTGGCATGATGTCGAGCGCTCGCAGAGCCGTGAAACATTCTGAGCTAAGGGCTTGATCTGGGCATCAAACGAACCTGTCCCTATAGCTTTATTTGAAGACCAGCAACCCTTGGCAGCTTTCTGGGGCAGCATGTTGAGGTGTTTCGAGGATATCAGCAGTATTCAGTTCCCGGAATGATGGATTATTCAGAATCACAAATAACTTCACAGTATCAGAAAATGACTTTATTTTTAGAAATCATAGCACTCCTGTAAGTAATTTGTCAAATGTAGTAGCTGTCTCGATTACAAAGGAAAACTGGAAGAAAAACGTGCCGTTTCTATGTGAACCGTCGCTATATCTTTCCGACGGAAGGAATTATGATTGGTACTCACAGTATTGAAAATTAGGGAGGGGTTGTGAGACAGAAGAGTCTCTCACTTGATCGCTCTCTGAGTTACGAGAAATTTTGGGATTTCTGATCGTCAATAAGAGCGCAAATAGAAAGCCAAAAATGTCCGCCCTATTAATATCGACCGCTATAGCACCCACGTCGGTGCCACTTTGTCTAGTTAAAACTGGATTTGTTAAGGATTAAGGATCGAAAAGTCATCCTGGGTATTCAGGGTCCGTGCTCTTTATATAGGGTCGCAATGGGTTCTGATGTGTAGTTGAAGTTTTCTTTGGTCAATAACTGAAGCAGTAATTTGCTCTTCAGAATACGCCTATGCCTTTGCTTCTGCCTACTTTTTAGCCTACTTGCCTACTATTATTTTTGGAAGATCTTCGCCAGCTTCTTAAAAGTCAGACGGCACTTTGTTTCAGTTCTCCTGCCTTCACGACTCCAGCACAGTCAGCGCATGCCATTGCCGTCGCGTCGATGCCTCCAACGAAGTATCACGCTGTTTTGCGGCAAGCATATCGAGCAATTCTCTATGCTTACATCTCAGTCCATCAGTAAGTTCACTCTCATTATGCACTATATTCCGCTTAAATTGAAAAGTTTCCGGTTACAATGCTGTATAGCAAGCGCTAATTACAGAAAAACTGCTTAACAGTAAAACTTCCTGTTATAAGATTTGATCTCATTCGTTGGGCTTTAATTTCAAGTAGATGTGATTACTTTTTTTCTGCCATTTGAAAGTCGGAATGCCTTCAGTTACCCTTTTCATGCAAATAAATACAGAGTGCATGGTCAGAGACACGGTTAGGGAATCCTGTTCAGCTATTTTGAATTAATTATTAATTAATTTGGTGAGACGGTTTGAAAGCACGGCTTATCTCTATGATCGGCTTGCCGCTAGCGTTTTTATTTTTCATCGGAACAACTTTTCAAGACCGCTAGCATCGAGAACAAAATCGTGACCCGGAGAGCGGAGAGAATCGTTGAATCACTTCTCGGCCTATACAGCTCTCCGGGCCTTTTTGGTTCTTTCGATAACCAAGGGGACCTGAAAGCTATGCCCAACTACTCTGCTGGCACATCATTCGTCCTAACCTATTTATATACGGTTCGATTTGTTATCACTGTTACTAAAACTGCTGACAGGACACCCTTACGCCGAAAAGCTCGCGAAATCGAAACCAGAAAGGACGGCAGGGCTCATCGACGGTTTCCTTCGGTGAGGAGGATCCTCTGCCACGGTGCGGTAGCCCGACTTGAGCAACATGAGATTTGTCCATGTCTCGAATCAAGGAGAGCCCAAATTTGTCCCCTTCCATGCAGGAGAGCCCATTAGTAGCAGATAACAAAGAATTGGCATCGTCTTGCGTTTTCAAATGGCTTCACCCCTCTATAGCAGTTCTCCCAACTTTTTCGTCAATTCGATCTGTTGTCATGTGCACCCAAGGAGTTTGTTTTCTTCCAGCTCCAACTGAAAGCTCTTTTTTAGCTGCATTTTACTCACGCAGCTGTTTTGTTCTCGTTAGACGTTTGGACGAAGGAATATGGCCAGTTTCACAAGCATGAATCATCTCCAAAAACTCCTTCGCTTGTCATCCATCGTCTAATTCGTACACATTCCTGGGCGCTATTGAAAAGAAAACTCTGAAGGGTGAAAACAACGAAAGAAGGATGGGGAGAAACAACAGGGCCGAGACTAAGCATGAATTGATGAGTTCGAACCAGTGCTATACAAAGTAACTTCACTTCACGGTCCCATTATCTTTCCTGAAAAAAGGATAACTCGTCCATATGGCAAATGCGCATGATAAACTGAAAATTGTATGCTGAGGTATCCTGAGCATAGACGGAGGCGGAGGTGGATACCAAGTACATATCTCACGTGGATAAGTCCAGGGATACAATTCCGAGTTATACTCACCTCGAAGACCAAATTTACCTTTCATCCCTTCGAGTTCGGCTAGTTGGTATCAGGGTCGCCAGGAATAGTTGTACGGCCCTGATTAATATGTATATGGCTGGTCCATCATCTCATTGTGTAGACTACGACCGCCCTGACACGCCACTATGACTCTGAATGGAAGCCGAATGCATGAGCGCATCACGGAAGGAGATTGATGATGGCCAAAACTCCATGCTCAAGCCTTTATTCCCATCACTTGTTGCCATTCTTCTTGCATCATGTAACAGAAGTCGTTTTCAGAAGATTTCTCTGCTCTGCTCTTCTTCTGCTTTGGTGCTACAAGCCGTCCTCCCCTCACGGGCGTTTTATTGAATTACATTTGAAGTTAATCGGGTGACTTTCTGTGATAAGGGCACATCCTTGGAGCAGCTGGCCTCTNTGAATGCAGAATTAGAAAAAATGTTGTAAAGTATGATTGTCATTTCTAGGTTCAAGCAAATTTCGTATTTGCATTAATAAATTAAGATAGAAAGGCAGGATAGTCTTTAAAAATTTTAGAAATTATTAAAAAATTGAAAAATTTAGACAATTGTGTAATAGCGTTACAATAGAGTAAAATGTAAAATAAGCGATAGAATAACCAAAAATCTACTTGTGATATGAAGGATATTTGTCAAAATTAGGCCAGTTATTCATATGCGGGGAACGGAGGTAGTCTAGTGGAAGGTGACGGAATGTCACACATGTCCACATGGGCCGGGTATCGAATACCCTATCGATACTTGCCCAGGCCGACCGACCCCTTCGTCCCACTGCTGATGGGAGCAGGGGTACTGCTGATGTGCAAGCCCCTGGTTTTTCCCTCCCACACTTGTCTGGGAGGACGAGAGCACTGAGTTGCACACATCGACTGGCAACTGTTAGTCACGGTATAGGCCAAACACGCATTCAATACATCACTACGATACTGGATAGAATTGGGAATAGGAATGCTTCCTGAAAGAGAAATCTATAAAAATCTGAGGTCCACATCCTTCTTAATCCATAGGCAAAATATAAGGTCCATACTGAAACGTGGTGTCGAGTCCCTACTTTTTGTCAACCAGTTACCTACTAGAGACTTTCGCGATTTCGAACGGCTTATCTTAGAGAACTCAGGCGGCACTGAATGCATGGTGCTATCCCAATTTAAGATAGAATTCAACGAATTTTGAAGTAGTTTACTCACTTCATAGAAAGAGCAGCTTGTCACTTTGAGATTAAAAAGTCAGCTAAAAATGCTCAGTTGAGCTTTGTAGAAACCAGTACCCTCCTTGAGCAATCATAAGGGGCTTGTCGCTACACCATCTCTTCCCTTGCTAGTACGGACACACTAAAAATGGGTAATCTTTGGGATCACCAGCTTTTTTGAGATTCGCTACTCATTCATTCATTTGATTACCAGTTGGGCTATGCATGCTTATGCATGCACTGTATGTCCACGACCGCTCGTCCGTAGGCCTAAAGCTTCTGCAGATACTTTATCGGGCGATATCGAAGTTCCTTGCAAACAACAGACAGATGCGAGCGTTTTATATATAGTAAGTAAGTATACTCATTATCATGGTGGTAAGTGTAGCTTGTTCTGTCCTTCCCTGTAGACTTATCCTCCGCGGTTGATCGCATCAAACGAAGTACCACGAGGAGTTGGAAAGTTTTTCCGTCTCAGACACCGAGCTAAGGTTGTGGTGTTATTGCCTTCAACCCCTTGTCTTCACCAGTTTTTAATGGTTCGAGAGTAAAGGGGATGACTTGTCCAAAATGTTCTAGTAATAAAAAATTATCAGCAGATGGACGTGTCAATGTGGTGACTCAGCGCATCATGCATTGAACACGCCATTTCCCCTTACGACAAATTACCTACTTCGGCCAACATTCCACGACTTCTTCTTTGACAATGTGTTCCAGACATCCAACGAGACCAATGAATTGCTTTGAACAGATCAGAGTGAATTCCTTGGAACAATGGCAAAATAAAAATAACAATCGCCTTTCGCGTGGAACGATGCAATGCAGGCAACCACCCCACAAAAACCCGTCACGAAAGGACTGATGCCCTTTTGGCAAGGATGAGTCATGCACCCGATTTCATTAAACTGTGGGAGCAACTGAATTCGTTACAGATGTACAAGCATGACACAGTCCTCTGCTTTCACCAGCCTGTGCGCACCTCAGTAATGTCCGTTATCACCTCTGTCAGAGCATGAAAAGACAAAGATCATATCAGGGACTTCCCATTCAACCACCACCCCCCCCCCCCCCCCCCCCCC